TTTTTTTTTTTTTTTTGAGACAGAGCCTCAACCTGTCACCCTGGGTAGAGTGCTTTGGCATCACAGCTCACAGCAACCTCCAACTCCTGGCCTCCAACTCCTGGGTTCAAGTGATTCTCCTGCCTGAGCCTCCCAAGTAGCTGGGACTACAGAAGCCTGCCACAACACCCGGCTATTTTAGAGATGGAGTCTTGCTCTTACTTCGGCTGGTCTCACACTCTTGAGCTCAAGCAATAACCCCTTTCATCCTTCCATAGTGCTAGGATAATAGGCATGAGCCACTGTCCTTAGCCATAAACAATTTTACATTGAAGGGAGAATTATTACACTATTTTATAACCTTTTTTTATTCAAAAAATTGCTAGTATATTTATAAATCAATAAATTTTATCTTATCATTTTCATAACTGTATGCTATTCCATTATATGGATAGACTATACTTTTATTCAGTCTCTTATTTTATTTTATTTTTTTTTTGCAGTTTTTGGTTGGGGCTGGGCTTGAACCCACCACTTCCATATGGGGCCAGCGCCCTACTCCTTTGAGCCATAGGTGCCGCCCTATTCAGTCTCTTATTGTTAGATACTGTGATTGTTTCCAGCTTCTTTATTGTGAACAGTATTAAGATAAACATCGTTGTTACATCTGTTTTAGTGCTTTTGCTTAATCATTCTGCACAGTAAATTCCTAAAGTGGAATTACTGGGTCAAAAATACTCATATATATATATATATTTTTTTTTTCTGGAGACAGAGTTTTACTATGCCACCCTCGGTAGAGCGCTGTGATATCATAGCTCATAGCAACCTCTAACTCTTGGGCTTAAGTGATTCTCTTGCCTGAGCCTCCCAAGTAGCTGGGACTATAGGCTCCCACCATAACACCCAACTGTTTGTGGTTGTTGTTGGACTTGTTGTTGTTTAGCAGGCCTGGGCTGGGTTCAGACCCGCCAGCCTTGGTGTATGTGGCTGGCGCTGTAACCACTGTGCTACGGTTGCAGCCCAAACATACTCATATTTCAAGGCATTTAACAATTTTTTCTATCCTTTTATTTATACTCCCACCAGTACAATAGTGTATGTCCCTTTTTTGGAGTCTTGATTCTTAAGTGTTTATTACAGCTATGTCTTTTCACCCTGGCCTTTTGGTTGGTAAAAGATTTTTTTTTTTTTTTGAGACAGAGTCTCATTATGTCACCTTTGGTAGAGTGCTGTGGCATCACAGCTCATAGCAACTGCTGTGAGCAGTTAGCAACTGCTAACTCTTGGGCTTAAGTGATTCTCTTGCCTCAACCTCCCAAGTAGCTGGGACTATAGGCACCCTCCACAATGCCCAGCTATTTTATTGTTATAGTTGTAATTGTTGTTCAGTAGGCCTAGGCCGTGTTCCAACCCACCAGCCCCAGTTTATGTGGCAGGCACTGTAACCATTGTGCTGCGGGCAGGAGCCAAAATGTATCATCTTAAGAAAGGTTAGAGTAGCTAGCTTGTCTTTCTGAAGAATTTTTTAAAAATCTCAAACTGTATACACTAATAATGTCATTTCTAACATCTCAGCATTGAAAATACAGATCTTTTCTGGCTTTTAATTAAAGAAAAAATGTAATAGTATAGTACTCCTTGAATTAAGTAACTTAACATGAAGTATAAAACACCTATCTGGGATGTGAACAGAAGAATTATAGAATCACCACTGTACAAATTCACTTTGCATTGATTATACCACCACCTGGACAAATAATGGATCATATAACCTTCTTTTGTGGAAATTTAT